ATGAGAGTCGACCATTCAATAGGTTCCTACACATTCAAGCTGACTCAGGTTAGGTGGTGATAACCATTATCTTTGACTATTTACTTAAGAGAGTATTTGGCTCAATTTAAAAAGTTTTCAGCACAAGGGCATTCTTTCTACCTAACCCTAGTAAATTTTTAGACTTAATTTTCATGCTCAATACTGCATCTTGTAATGAAACAACGTTGAAAAAATATTCTGTAAAATGTAAGTTTATTAAAAATATTTCAATCTACATAATTAAAACATTTCCATCACAACCAAATAAAACATTGGGCACACTAAAATTTGTATTTGTTATGATATCTAAGCCAGCCCATGAATTTCATCTACCATTAATAATCTCACCAACTCAAATTGATCCAATTTGACTATATTTTGCACTATTTTTTATAAAAAAAACATCAGGTAAAACTTTTCTTTCTCTCACATGTAGTTTGACTCTTAATGTTACTTTTATCTTTTCTATGAAAATTCACTATCTGCCAAACATTTGAACGTCAAAATCGAGATACTTTCTTGCTTCTATTCACGAAAATAACAGATGCACTGTTACACACTCAGAGGAAAGTCCATCCTTTTTGTAGAGCTGGCATACTCCCCAGGTACATAGGTTGGCCTTTTCAGAAGTTCCTGGCAAAGAACTTTTTGTTTTTGCTTATTTGGCATTTTTTCTTCGTCCATCCTATGTAGTGCAGTAGCAAGTAGCAGATTATTAATAATGAAAGAGAAATTTAGGTTTCTTTCTAATTCCACTCAATGGCAGGGTTTATGGGCAACTAAACTAAAGCCATGCATTTATTAGATAAATGCAAAATATGATACTTTTGTATTATTACATAAGCAACACATTTGTGAACTGTCAGCGTAAGCACTGGTTAGCATTAATGGTTTGAATGTTCTATTTCATATTGTAGCACAAGTTGTTCACTCTAGAGTCAACCAACTTTTAGAATGACAACAAAATGAAAAGCAACTTACAGTAACGGGCGGAAATAACTTAAGTCTGAAGAAAAGAAGGGTATGGGTGAGTGGCAAAAGCTTCAGATGACTCAGAAAGTGCATTTCATAAATTGTGACATGCCACGTTAATACCAAGAGCATCTATTTTCCTGTCTCATGATAAGTTGACAAGCACACAAAGAGAGTTGCATCATTAACATTACCTTTACCAGTGATACACACATTAAAGTTGGATGACAACTTGAAGAGAAATCAGATGAAATTGCTAACCACTGCTCAATTACAACAATTGATCACTTTGAAAAGATCATTTCCAACATGGAAATGGAAGAAATCGTGAAAAACCAAGATTCACTGAACAAAATTCAGTAAGCTGATAACTGCACTAATCTCTAGGAAAGCTTAGTCAGTGACATTAGAAGAAATGAATTTGTTGTGTTGATCAATGAATCGGCTGATGGTACAGTAAAAAATATTTATATATTATTTTGTGGTACTTCAGTGAATAAGAAGCACATATTCTTACCGTATTTGTTGAACTTGTGTTTGTGGAAAGTCATCAACAACAAGATGATGAACTAGGAAGAACTGAAGACTTACCCCATATGTGCAAAGCAGTTCAGTGTTCTGGAATTAGAGTAAAAGGCTCAGATAATCTTCGAAATGTTTGTTTGTTGAATTTCATGCAAAGCTACCCAAGGGCTATCTGAACAAGCTATCTCTAATATAAGACTATAAAGAAGGCAGTTATTCAAAACCACCCACTACCAACTCTTGAGCTGCTTTTTTCATCAACAAAGTCAGATTGATCATTACATTATAATGCCCCCATGGCTAAAAGGACTAGCATATTCCATAAAGGGATTCGATCCCTAAACCCACAGATTGTTTATCATCTTTGTATCAACCATTGTCTCAGAATTTAAGCATGTAAATGCATTCTTTCTGGAAACAAATGCTGATCCAGAAAAAGATGAAGAAAGATCTGGCCTAACACAAGGACAACATTTATCTGAGTTTTGTGGGCCAATGGAAACACTTTGTCTTTATCAAGAATTGATTTTTGAGCAGAATTCACTATAGAAATAAACGAATTTCTTACAAGATGCGACATTTCTTCTCAGGCTGAGGCAATAGGCACCTACTCCACTTGAACTGGGCAGAAGCTGTTTTTCAGGGAAACATTCCAGATGACACTGCTGTGCAGTTCTGGTCAGGTGTCTTAAATTATAAAAATATGCTAAAACAAATATCATTCACAGATCTTACAATGTATACTCTTTCCTGTCAGGTTATCCCTGTGATCAGTTCTGTTGCATCTTTTTTCAAGTCACATCTATGAAAAACAAAAATTTGTAATTGCAATAGCAGCTCAATTCTTGAAACTACTGTAAGAATTCATGCCAACTTGCACTTTGGTGACAAGTGCTGCAAGGAATTTTTTGTAATACTGCATACATTTTAGTCTACTCACCACCAGTCTAACTCTACAAGCCATGCTTACATTTTTGAATATTTCTAGATTGACTGATCATTTATATATATTTTTATGTACAGAAAAGTGCTTAGATTAAATTTCATTAATTGTAATAATTAATAAAACGAAAATGGTAGCTGCATGGAGTTGCTTGTAGTAAGTGTATTCTCTTGAAGAAGATAGTCAACATGTGGTTCAGTTCCAGTAAAAGCATGTGTCATACTTTGCGCAAAGCTATCCAAGGGCTAACTGTACTAGCCTTCCATAATTTCGAAGTGATAGATTATAGGGAAGGGAGCTAGTATTCACCCCCCACTCTTTAACAACAAATAGTGGGATTAACTGTAAAATTATAATGCCCCAAGACCGAGTACACTTTGTGACGGGATTTAAATTCACAACACGCAGATGGCGAGTCGAGTACTCTAACAAACAAACACCAAAAAAAAAGAGCAACAGTAATAAAAGTATTCATACTGGGTTAGTGTTATTTAATAAAGACTGTTCACTGTGTTCAGCCTCTTTATTTCATTGTCACAAACTCAAAAGTTAGAGAATTTGGAATTATTTCACAATGTATATCTTATCAAGTCTCGTTTCATTCACTCCAAGGATAATCATAAAATATATTCTTCTTTGCCCTAATTTTATTTCATCATAAAGACAGTTACGATTCTCCAAGTACATCTTTTCCAATAATTTATATACTTTATCGAAATTTCACTAGGTAAATGCAAAATCATCTTACATTATTTCTACTTAAATTATGACAAAGGAAAAAGAGAAGAAAAATTTCACCTCGGAAGGAAACTGCCCAAAATCCCTATTCACCTCAGATAAGAAGGAAGGGTAAAATAATGAGAAAAAGTATGACTGATTATGAAAACCTTACTACTTCCAAGTCTCAGGAAGTGAAAATATCACAACCAACCTCAGATGTGTTAAACATCTGACAAAGGATTCTAAGGAAAATAGTGATTTAAAGAAACAGGTTAAGAAATTTTCCTACATGAAGATGTATCAGATAACACGGTAGACACTTGAGTTGAATTATACATGTTGCATGATATATTTCATTTAGAATGATAACACCAAAGTGAAAAATCACATAAAAGCTGAGGAATTTTTAAAAGGAAAATTTTTAGATTATAAAATGGTTACAAGAAAACAACACAGCCAAAACCAAAAACAAATCACCTTGGCTATACAATTATCAATGAAAGATAATATCTTCAGTTATCACATGCTAGAGGAGACCCTATTGCACATTTAAGTACAAGTGGAAAGAGTCTCTCTTGAACTATACATGCGACTGTGAGGCTGTTCACAAACAAACTGCATTACAGGAATAAAGATGAAGATATAATCCATGATCAGCTACCATCCCTGATGAGGTACAGTGCTGTATTCGAAAACCACTAATACATTTTCAACACGATCATTCTTCAGTACCATATCACAGAAAGACTTTTTCAATAATAAATTCACTACATGGTTGGATTTCATCTTCAGTTAAGCAAATGATATACAGAAAAAGACAAAAACAACAATATATTCAAAAATCAAAACTGTTACACAGTGTTCCAAATGTTATTTTTGAATCAGACAATCATTTTCTAGACTTGATGATACTGTTTGTTCTCCAACTTACAAAAAATAGATGATATAAAATAAGCAACATATTTTTTAGAATTTGTCAGTATTACAAGATGAATAATTTTTTGTTAAAAGATGATGTAATCTGATGTTGTAAAGCTGAAATCTTAAAAAATAGAGAAAATACCTGCCCGTAAGAACAATTAATTTTCAGCAAATAATGCATACCATTTATCACTTAATTTAATATTTTATGTTTATTATCCAAAATGATTTAATAAACATTCTAACATCAAATTCTATGTGATGAAGTTTTATAAGGAACCATATTTTTATATAATAGACCCGTACTTTAAGAGATTTCAGTCTGTAGCAGTAATAAAATAATAGATTAAATAATTAATTTCAAATTGTTTACATAAAAAAGTGAAAATACTATACAGTATCAACAGTTTTAATTATTACGATATACTAAGTAAACGTAAAAACATGTTAAAACTAAATCAAATATTGCAAACGGTTTTAGAGTACAATACCAAACTGAAGTTAATTTTTCTAAATGAAGTTGCCCACTTTCTTGTGTCATTAAGTAACTATGAAATCCTATACTAAACAGAATATTTTTTTCATTCTTCAAAAGTTGAAATTTTTCAACTACATCATTTTTAAAATTTTCTTGTTTTTTCAAACAAAGCTAGGAACTTTGATAAACCAATAAACATTTACATTAAGTTGGCAGAACAGAATACTACAACTTACAGCAGGATCTATCCCTATGAATAGCTATGATGTTTCTGATGCAATGTGAAATTAAAGATTTAACTTATTTTTAACAGTTTGAAATGCATTATAATATATAAAAAGGTTATATTACACCTAGTGTTGTAGAAATATTTGTTTTTCAAGCAATGTTATTAAGTTTATTAAAAAAGGCACCTGCCAATTAAGACTTTATAAGCTTATTAAGCCATAACTTTATTTAAATGCAATGATTTTTGGAAGTTGTACAAATAGGACTTGAACTTTATGCATAATAAATCATACACAGAACAGTAATTCTATACTTGGAGTCACCAACAATCACCACATTATTGAAAAATAGATAAAATTTCATCCTCATGCTAATGACTATTTTGATGAATCGTCAAAGAAAGGACAACATGTATTATGATACTAACTAGTTACCAATAGGTTTTAAAGTAAAAGATATCTGTTAATAATTCAATTTCAGCCTAACTTGATGAGATGCGCAACTTTAATAAATCACACACTATTTAACCCTCCTATTACTGAGATATCAAACATATATATATACGTGGCCAACATGATTTACACACAACTCTCCCGAGTTTTTTAAGATAACATATCTGTGATGTATATCAAAATAACCTTATTTCTAATTAATTACTATAAGGTGCTTGACCAAATACATACGTGTGTGTCACTAAAAGAAATCCAACCTAATGAAACAAACTGAGTACACCTTGCATAATGCATTCATGTTAGGGTTAAAACTGCATTCCTCAAATGTGCACCATTATGGGGTCACTTTTTGTAGTTTCATTAGAATACTTGATGAATTTTCTTCATGATGCCAAATGTATTATTTTGGGGAGAATATTTGACTGATTCCCATCAAAAGTTTCTCTTCTTACATGAAAGTTAAAATACAAACATTTAAAAGAACCTTAAGTAAGTTATTACATACAAAAAAGAAAAGAAAAAAAAAAGAGTTCTAACAATGATAAGGTTTATTGATTTTCCATTACAGCCTGTGAAGTACATTGTGACAGAAACAGTGTTTCAAAGCTGCTAAAAAATAGTGTTCAGCTCCTTAATAACTGACTAATACAGTGTTCATCACCTTAACAACTGACTAATACAGTGTTCATCACCTTAACAACTGACTAATACAGTGTTCATCACCTTAACAACTGACTAATACAGTGTTCATCACCTTAACAACTGACTAATACAGTGTTCATCACCTTAACAACTGACTAATACAGTGTTCAGCACCTTAACAACTGACTAATACAGTGTTCAGCACCTTAACAACTGACTAATACAGTGTTCAGCACCTTAACAACTGACTAATACAGTGTTCAGCACCTTAACAACTGACTAATACAGTGTTCAGCACCTTAACAACTGACTAATACAGTGTTAAGCACCTTAACAACTGACTAATACAGTGTTAAGCTCCTTAACAACTGACTAATACAGTGTTAAGCTCCTTAACAACTGACTAATACAGTGTTAAGCTCCTTAACAACTGACTAATACAGTGTTCAGCTCCTTAACAACTGACTAATACAGTGTTCAGCTCCTTAACAACTGACTAATACAGTGTTCAGCTCCTTAACAACTGACTAATACAGTGTTCAGCTCCTTAACAG